AGGGTAATCCGCAACCCTTAGAACGCTCAAGTATCTCCAAGGAAAGGGGTAGTCCACTCTCTGCCTCAAAGAACTAAGCTCTGATATTGTGATTGAGAAAATATCAGTTTAGAGGAAGGTAATCCGCAACCCCTAAAGCGCTAGAATACCTTCAAGAAGAGGGGTAATCCGCTCTCAAACAAGAAGGATTCAGCTCTAATATTAAGATCAAGGTAGTCTCGACAAACTGTCACGGACACAAAATACAGACTTGAAATCTAACAAGAAGTTCTAGAAGAAGTGGCAGAACTAGATTAAACAGATGAGTACAAGAACAACACCAGAAAGGTGAGCTAGAACTCCAAGAGATGTGTTGTCGAGACTGAATAACTCTTCAGCCTCGACTCCTATATATACTACTGGCCTATGGTTCTAAGGAAGCGCATCAAGAAGCTTCCCAAGAACTATGAAGCTTCTCGAGCAACTACCCAAGAGCTAGGAAGCTTCTCAAGTAACTTCCTAGAATCTACTAGAATATTCTAAGAATCTTCTAGAGCCTTCTAAGAGAATCTTTAGGGAATCTTCAAAGAATCTTTAGAGAATCTTTAAGGAATATTCTAAGAGAATATTCAAGGAATCTTCTGGATGTTTCTAGAGACTTCTTTCTAGAAGGTTCTAGAAACTTGTCTCTAGAAAGGTCTAAGGACTATGTCCCTAACAGCAATTAGTCGTCAAGGTATGGTGTAGTTTGTGGTGTCATACTTGTAGAAGCAACATCTATAGCATTATATTATAAAGTCGCTATATGATAGGATGTAGTCATATTTACTATTGTCTTTTATATCTAATCTTAGAATTCTAATGGTTTTTGGGAGTTCTAATATATTTTAGGTGAAGATTCAAACTTTTAATCTAGAAAGCTTGGATTTGCATAGTTCACTATTATCTACTATTAATATTTCAAAATTTTGTGAAAGTATGGCTTGAAAGAGATCCTTGGTTTGTAGTATATGGAAGAGGCCCAAAACTTAGATCCCAAGTGCCATCTTCTATTGATTGTGTGTAGCAAGTGGATCTTATTCATAGTATGGTGTCTACAAATGATAACATATTTCTTTGTTATCTATCTTGTAATTGTAATGTACCAAAGTTTATTTGACTTCCTTCGAGTTTGTAAACTAGAATTCTATATTGTTATTATCCTAAATAATGAGGTACTTGAAGGTATGATATAACCAAGTATTGGCCCATATAGATAGTTTCTTTATTCTAGGATTTTCATCTCTGACAAAGTCTAGTACCATGTATTTCCTAAGTTGTTCCATCTTTTGTTGATATTTGATTTTGAGTTTATTCAAAATAATAATGTTAAGTTATTCAAATGATATTAGCTAAAATAGTAGTATATGGTAGATTAGATCTATTAGATGGGTTTATATCAAGGTATATTCTTGGAATTTTTAGGTTATTATAGATTCAACATAGCAATTTGGAAAGAATCTAAGGAAGTGTGGTAATATTTATTATATGAGCATGATAATGTCTTCTCTTTCAATTGCCTTCCATGTGAAACTTAGTGAAAAATATGTCTAGATAAGACCTTCCGCTTTCTTGTATCTTCTTTATACTTTTTTATGAAGTTAATAAAAGATATCTCAATCCAATTCCTTGCTATCAAAAAAAGAATCTGATTTTGTGATGTATATGATAGTGTTCTAACCTTGGGGTTCAAAGGTTGTGTGAGTCCACTTGTCTTGAGTTGGATTGATTCTTAGTTTAATGTTGTTATCAAGTATCAAAGACATTGGATTGACTTTTGTATTTTCTTCAAGCATACGACTTAGTTTAGATATTATTTGATCTCGTGATGTATCTTGCTCCATACTTGCATGTAGAATTTTTGCTCCATGTTTGGTGGTATTTGCCAAACTTTAGATTTGTGTGGCGCTCTTATATATTTTATTTTCTAGTTCTCCATCATTCTCTTGCTTGGTTGGTACTATGGTGTATAATTACATAAAAACTATCTTGTTGAATTGATATCTTCTTTGTTTGCTAAATTGTCTATACTATGATTGTTTAGTCTTACATCAAATTCATGGTCAATTATATTGTCACTACTATTTTGCACTCTAATTCCACTAATTATTCAAAACTATTCTATTTTAACTAAAAATTCATAGAATCTAGTTTACTATATGTTCTAAGAGATGTTAAATGTAATGTTGGCAATTATATTATATCAATCTTTAAGTTGTAATTATATTTGAAGAATTTTGATAAATTTGGATCTGGTAGCACTATGCCTTGTGTGATTCATAGAGTCCTATCAAGCATAGTACGTCATGCCCAATTGCATTGTAGTGGGTTCCAACTTTGTTGCCAATCTCTAATGATTGGAGCTTGCTACTGTGCGCCTACCTTACTTATTATACCATATTTATATTTGGCTTGTAATGATAAGCATAATTTAGTTGAGGTAAGAAATAAATTTATCCATGGCCAAATTTATAATATACAAAACAATACATATTCTTGATTGAAGATCTCAAAATTAAAACTATTAATGAAACATTGAATGGTATGAAAAACAAGAATATGAATGATATTTGGTAGCATTCTTAAGTGGATCATTGCCAAAAGAATTGTAAAGTATGTAAAAAATATATTATAAAACTTTGGCTTTGGTGAATATCTAGTTTTAAAGATGAGAACATTTTTCTTTTTAGAATATCAGATTGGAAACCCATTTGGGATTTGAGTGTATTGGAAGTAATAAAATATGTGTTTATGTATGTGAGTTTTATCCTACATCTAAGTGTAGGGTTTTTGAATGATAACAACACTTTGAATAAAAGATAATATATAATGAACTTAAAGAAGACTACCAATTTGTTAAGATTACATGACTTTATTGAACCTAAATTTACCTATGATTGTAGATGATTTTTTTTCTTGAATTTGGTATAGATCACAATGTAGTCACTCCATTGACTGTAAAATCAAAATATTCTTTCTCTAATATTAGTAAAAAATAATAAAAATACTTGGTTTAGATTTATTGGTTTGTTCTACTAGAAGCTCACTATACATATATGTATGTATATAACTATAACAATAATTGTGTGATAACTATAAAAAAATACATTGAAAATATTAATATGCTTGTAAAAAAAAATGAGGATATTTTTTGCTTATAGTACATCCCTAAAAATATTAATTTTTTTTTTCCCAAAAAAACGTGATATTAGATTAATTTTTTTCTTAAATTGAAGTCTAAATTATTTTGGCCTTTGATAACTTAAACATAAGTTTTTCGAATATATTTTATATATTGAATACTTCGTAACTCTTAAAATGTTCCAGAACAAAGACATGATTTCCAGTATGGAAAAATTAAATAAATAATACCTGTTAAAAGATGTTAAAATGTGGTAAAAACAATGTATTTTGATAATACTATTTTTTAAACAAAAAATTCATGATTTAAGTACTAGAATAATATCAATATATTGTTTCATCCATCCATCTATCTATCTGTATTGTTTTTTAGTTTGTATATTTCTACTGCAAAAGACCATATGTGCCATGTCCCATGATTACAATTCTTAGACACAAAACAATCGACTGAGCACCATTGTTTGCTGATTTATCATTTATTTATTTATCTGAATAATAGCACGTGTAGGTTGACAGAAGTGCTTATTGTTAATTTTTTAAAGTGGGACATTCATAGTAATAGATAGGAATATAACAGCAGCTATTTCATACACACTCATTTTTATTATATCATCTACAGAAATAGATACTTTATTGCTTAAAATACTGACGTTGTTTTTAACAATACATACATATTTTTGTAAATGATCTCATGATGCTCTTTTGGAATCTTTCAAAATTTTAGAATATATATATTTTTCTTTCTTATACATATATAAAGTAACACTTTTTTCTTCTTTTTTTTCTTTCTTTCTTTTTGTGATTTTAAAATTTAATTGTCTTGCTAATAAAAGAAACTCTACTTGCTTCACTTTGTAAAATCATCAAACTTATACTCTTCTAAATATTTAATTATCTTCACCATTTTATGTTTGTTTAATTACTCATTATCACTGCTTCAAGTTATTTGTGCAAGAGAATACCCCTTTAGAGTATTCTTTGAGGTGGAGTCATGTATTTGTGAAAACTTATAAAATTGCACATAGCCACATGACATGACATAGCCATATATATATATATATATATATATATATATATATATTCAACATTAAAAAAGAGAATTGCTAAATCAATCCACCCCTCCGCACCCCTTTTAATCCCATAACCAATTGCAACAAAGTGTTGCATGGGTGGAGACATCTACACAATGAGATCCATTGTAATTTGAAATTGTAGAAGACATACACAAGGATCTTTGCATAGATGTAGAATATGTAAACATAATTCTTGTACTTGTCTTATACGTTCAATTTTTCAAGTCCCAATACCACAATAAACTTTTCTACAATTCTTGATTGATCTAGCAATTTCATTTATAAAACCAAGGGATTGAGTTGATTTAGTAAAATGGGTGGGATTGGAAGGAGGGTGGGTAAATTTAATAAAATGGTGGATTGATTTTGTAATTTCTTTATAAAATACTAGTAGAAACCGATGTTCCACGCCTAGTGATCTTGCAGTACTACTCTTGACAATCTATAACAAAATGCAAATTTTGATCTTTGATTGATCAAAAGTTGAATTATTTCTTTACTTTTATTTCAGTTTTAATAAAAAAAATGAAATTTGCAGCCAATCACAGATGGTCTCCTTCGATTTATGCCGTTGGTTAATCCTTGAACTAATTTATATAAGAGATTGTATTTTATAATATGTACTTAGTAGGCATAATCTATTTGTAGTGATAAGGAATACAGGAGATGATGTCGCGACTAGTGCTGTTTTGGATGATTTTGTGATGACGAAGTGGCGACCTACGAATGAACTTTATTTCGCATTTGGCCACGGCACAGAATAGGTTTTGTTTTCTCAGTGGATTTGTGGGTCGCCGATTTGCGGAAGTTTTAGGGGCAGCGTTAATCAGAATTTGTGCAAATCATCGGCTCGAAGTTGCAGCTGGATTTTTGATGGAGTTTCGGGGATTCTTCGAGTGAATGCAGTACAGAGTGTGGCCCAAGCGCGAATGCATCGAGATTGAGTTGTTCAAGCTCTGATTTGTTGTTAGGTTGTAGACTCTTGGTTTTCCTTTCGAGCTTGTTGAAGTGCGCCGAAGAGAGGTTTTGGGTGTTTAGAGTGTCGCTATTTGGAGAGAAAGGAAGTTTTCGATTGTGTAAGTAGCTTTGAGAGTAGGATCTGGTCACAATGGGTGATAATTTTGTGTACAAGGATGCGGAGGGCACCAGCACGCAGTGGGATGATATTCAGCGAAAGCTCGGGAACTTGCCCGAGAAGCCCAAGCCCAAGCCAACCCCGGGCTGGGTCCCGGATTCCGATCTGGAAAACGCTCCCAAGGATGCAGCATGGCTGGATGGGAAGTCCATTGATGAGCTTGAGGATTTGGAAGACGATTCTCTGTTAGAAGATGATCGGTTCCTCGAGCAGTATCGGTATGGTTTTGCCAGTGTTTTGTTCATTTATGCAGTATTTTGTCTCGGTATTGTCGTGAAATTTTGAAGTGCTCCGTGCTCATTTTCGAAATATCATCTTTGCCAGGGTCGGATTCCAAATCCTTCCTCTTATTTTCACTCCGGTTACACTCTCTAGTTCCTCAGATCCATGCCCAAATCTGCCATGGAAAATAAGTATTGCGTGGAATCCCACAAGTTTAGATTTAATTGTTTTTCAAACTGTCTCGTCTCGGAATACCTGAGAATCAGATTGAACTAAGAATTCGAATTCGTACCTTGTTCAGTAGATTGATGATCTTGCCATCGGAGAGATAAATCTCCTTTTCCTATCCTTCTTGTTACATTGTATTTTTTTCTGTCGCCTAGAAATCCTGGATGTCGGTTCTGAAACGAAGAATTGCTTGTTTAATTATGACGAGCATGACATTAGTAGTACGATGCTCAGACTTGACACCTGATAATTATATCCTGCCCGCAGAAAGCAGCGGTTGGCAGAAATGAGGGAAGTGGCAAGTAAACCGCGATTTGGGTCCGTGCAGCGAATTTCAGGCTCCGATTACGTTAGGGAGGTCTCTCAAGCACCTGCTGATGTGTGGGTCGTTGTCCATCTTTTCAAAGACGGGTTAGTCTCTAACTTCTTAGTAGTGATCGTATGTTCATTGCTCCTCATCCCACCAGTCATAAACCTTTGTGATAGGAAGATGTCGACAGAAATTTGAAGTCATTTTTTTAGTCAAGTTGTTTTACATTGTGCATTGAATGAAATGCGGTTTGGTTAAGAATTAGGTGACCTACTGCTCTGACAGGTTAGCAGAATGTGAGTTGCTGGGGCAGTGCTTAAATCAACTGGCGGCGAAGTATACCAATACGAAGTTCGTGAAGATCGTTTCTACGGATTGCATTAAGAATTACCCAGACAACCTTCTTCCCACCTTGTTAGTTTATAATAGCACCAATGTCATGGCCAACTTGGTGGGCCTGCGAAGATTTGGAGGTCCAAAATGCACTCCTGAAGGTAATGCTTCTAGCGCGGTTGCCTTTTCCAACAAGCATAATCTTTCTTCGTAATCTTAACAAAGAAACAGAATAAATCACTGACACCTGACCCTAAAATTGCGATTTATGCAGATGTGGCGCTGGTGCTTAGTCAAGTTGGGCCTGTTCTCGGCGAGCCCGGTGAGACCGATGCTGATGCCGTCAGGGCGAGGATCCAGAAAGACTACGTTGAGAAAATGGTTTTGAGGCATGCAACAAAAGGAGGGGGAAACAATTCTGACGAAGATTCATGAATCGCAATCAAGTAATGGAGGCGTGTTTACCATGAACAGTACCATAGCTGCAATGATGTTACGGATACAAGCTGAAGCGCCAAGCCTGCGTGGAGTTACTTCGCTATGACCATAGGATACATCTTCGATGCTCCTACACATGGGCACCTTCCGAATCCTAGATTACAGTTCGTATCAGTTTCCTTAGCTGCAGAGAGATAGATCTAGAAGGAATTTACGTTGACAGAGCTTCATTTAGCTGGAGTGTCCTCTGGGCCGAGTTGGAGGGTGCTTGCATTTCCATCCAACTGAGCTTTGTGTCTTTGTTGTCCCTTTCAACCTATGGAATTGTAGGATTAGTCGCTTTTTTCACATCAGACCAGGTTTTCCAGTTCGTACACTGCTTTTTTTTTTCTTCTTCTTCTTCTTTTCTTTTCCCGTTCTATATGCTGGTGTGATACCAAAGCTGCCATTGTTGTGATTTTCATCTCACCAGGAATGTACGGTTACTGCTCGAGGGAAGTGAGCTGACGACCTGATTTAGTGTCATCCTTGGGCACTTCGGTGTTAGCTACCACCCAAGTTGGTCAGTCACGCATGTAATACTCTTGCTGTCGAGGGGAATGTGACATACTGCCATGAAACCGGTGGGAGGTTGGTGAAAGTTGGCCACCACTGCAGAAAAGCTCGTGGGTAAGCTCTGACGATGTGAGTGTTGAGAGGATTGTACGTATTCCATAGCCTTGGGACAGAGTGTGTGTGTTTGCAGGCAGCTTCCAAAACTGTCAGTCCATGATCATTTGAGAGGCTCATTTATGCAATCACTGCATGTTTTGAAATCCTCACTCACAATTATAACTGAACCACAATCACGGGAGTGAACTCAGACGTGACGATCAGGCAAGTACAATTATTGCAATCACCCACAAGAGCCATGGATCTGGTTCTGATCCAAGGTTTGTTACGGAATGTGTGTCTGAATTTACCCCAAATCATTCTGAGGTTTTAGTTTTGTGCACACGTTCATTGCTTTTTGTGTGATTTGATACTTGAATATGATTTGTTCAAATTCAGGGATCTCATACATTGTTTAAGTGCGTGTGTGCATTTTTACATGGTTTGCTAATAGCATCCATTTAAATGTTTATTAGTACATTTTATATTATTAGATGACAATTGCTTAAAGTTTTTGTAGACTTCGTATTTGTATTAAACAGGCCATAAATATACAGGCAAAAATCTATGGAAACTCCTAGAATGTAGAAGAAATAATGTTTGTTCTAGACAAAATGATGACTTCATAATATTATTTTAAATATCCATATTATGTAGATTTTTTATGATGTATATTTACTCATACATTTCATGTAAGTAATTTCAAGTGGTATTACATTTTATATTCCAAATATTCTGAATTGAGTAAAGTTTTCTTTAAGTCAATTTTAGATAAATTATAGTATCTATTTTGAGATTGGTTTTTTTAATATCACTATTTAAAATTATCTATATATGTAATAGTAAATAAAAATACTAATTAAGATTTTAGAATTGTGAAGAAATTGCTTTACAAATTAATTTATAAGTTGTGTTAGAAATTTAGTTTTTCATTTAAGCTATCATTTCTTGATTCTAATTCAACATCATGAAAATTTAAAGAATCAACCACGATAATATTGAAATTTTATTTATTAAATAGGTACTATTTTTTTATATATTATAATATATTATGTTATTATGTCTATTTTTTATTTATTTTGTTGAAAAAGTCAAAAATATGAGAATCTTAAAATATTAGAGCATATAAGCATGTTAAGTTAAGTGAATTAGAAGAGTGTATGTGGATGTTATAGATGTTATGAAGAGCTGTACTATAATGTACATTAGATTGTTTTGTAAAGCTGTACTATAATGTCTAACCAATTAAGTAAAAAATGCAAAAATTAAAACATACTATGTAAAAAATAATGGATAACAAATTTTCTTGTATTAGATAGAATATTTATTAGATGATAAAAATAATTTATTTACAAAATACATTCTTGCTAAGAAATGTGAGTATTAATCTTTTAATTTATTTTTTGGTTATTTGAGATTTTCAAGAATTAGCTATACAATAATACTACAACTATTTGATAGAAGAGTATTTATTAAAAATATCTTAAATAATTCAATTTTTTCATTAGCTTAATTATGAATTTTTAATGATTATTGATTATATTTACAAAATACTTCTTTAAATGTACACCAAATTATCTTTTTTAAACATCTTATTATTATATTGAAATTCTTCTAAGATTATAATTATTTTTAAATAGATTTTTTAATACATCACAAATTATTGTAATTATTACTATAACTTAAGAATTTCTTAAATATTCAAAAATTTAAATACTTATTGATTTCAATTATATACTCTAATTTTTTAATATATATATATATATATATATATATATATATAGACATATAAGATAATGTTAAAGTCATCTATCTATTTACTAAATAGACCTCCCCTATTGTAACCATCATTAGAAAAATGAATCATCTCTAGAAACTATTATTACAATCATGACCCTTTGTCATGAACATACATATTTATTCTAATATTTATCATATGATTAAATAGAATTAGATAAAAATAAATTTATTTCATAATGTTTTCTAAAGAAGCTTCTTTAAATCTTTATAGATGTTGCTTTGACTTTATATGTATTTCTAGTTGATTGGTAGGTTAGAAACTTAATCAACAAGTTAACTACTTGTTGATAGCTTGCGAAACAAGCTAACTATGTGGCGTTTACATAGAAAACTTACCTTGCAAGAAGATACATATCTTGCACAATCAATACGTTTTGGAGGTCCTATAGGATACCACCATGTAGCTTTTAGTTAAGAATATATATAGAGGCAAGAGTGAAGCCTTTTTCATTCTTGTCAATGCCTTTCTAGACTTTAGTCTTGTTTTCAAGACTTTCTACTCTCCTTGTCTTTGGCAATAGCCATTCTAGTTTAATACTATAACATCTTTGAGTGATTTTGTAATCTTTTTGAGTGACATAAGATTGTATTGAGGTTTTCTTTCTTCAAGATTCATGTCCTTGACACCTTCATTCTAACCTCTCTTATTTTCACCTCTTCCTTCCTTCATTTCTAGCTCTCATCTTGACCCTATTTTTTTCCTTGTTCTTAACTCCTTCAAAACTATAAATATGAGCTGTTGAAGATTGACTTAATCAAACTTGTGTTTATATGATTGGATTAAAGATGCAAAATGTGGCAAAGATAATAATGATCTTTAGGCAATCTCAATAAGCAATCTTTATATATTATCTTAACCTCCAACAACTCATGTGTGTAGCTCTGAAGAAATTAGAAATGAAATGGAAAAGGGAGAGGGGAGAAGGTAGAGATGAGAATTAAAAACAGAGGAAGCAGAGACTCCAAAAGAAGAGAGTTGGAATAAAAGTTATGATTGTAATGATAATTTCTGCAGATGATCCATTTTTCTAATCATGATTATAATAAGTTATATCTTTTTAGTAAATAGATGGATCACTTTAATATTTTCATATATATATATATATATATATATATAATTATTTTTTTGTATGTATATAGGAGTACATGACATGAGAGGTGATTATGCATTGAAAAATGGTGTCTACTTAGAAATTATTTAAGTTATAACAATCTTAAAATTAATTTAAAATTAAATATTATTTTTGAAAAAAATAAATTTTATTAGTATTTTTAAAATATAATAATTGATATTTAAAAGTTTAGTTAAAAATAAAACATCATCTATCCTTATTAGTTGCCAAGAAAACATGTTTTTTATTTCAAAGAACAAAAGTAATAATCATATTATTAATATCTTCAAATAAGATAAGATTAATAGTCTTAGTAATTATTATAGAATTTCTACATAATAATAAATTATATAAAAATATAAAAAAATCGTATAAAATCAAATATAAATATATTTGTGAAAAACACTTTTGATAGTTTTAATACAAATCTTGATGTGATATTTTTACAATACCATCTTTTTATAGATTTTTTTTCAAAATAAATTATTTATATTTAATTAGTATTTTTTATTTTATTTGTTAAATAATTTCAATTAATTTTAATTTTTTTAGACTTTTTAAATTAATTTTTAATACAAAAAGAAGATATTTTAGAAAATCTTTTATATAATTTTTATTCTTTGTGTGAAATTAAAAGAATATTCTAAATATTATTTTTACTTCATAATTTATTATATTTTTAGAGAATATTTAGTAAAAAATAAACTTAATAACTTAATTAAAAAATATATTTTTTAATTTGAATATTATATTTATATATTTATTTATATTTTTAATTATGAGTAATTTTTATTTTAAAGTAATGCCGTTAGTATAAAAAAATATATATATGATTTTTAAATTTCATCTCATATTAATAATAGACGACAAAAAATTCAAAGTGAATCTAACTAGATTGGATATGTTTATGGTCTAAAAATATATTCAATAGAAAAAATAGAATATCTTTTATCACTCTATAAAATTACAAATACCTTCAAAAATAGGCCCTTCTTGCTAATCTTTTTATAAGAAGAATGCATCCTAAAAATATTCTATGGTAGATACTCATAAAGCACTGCATCACCTTGCTTTATCCAAAATGAAAAAATAAATGGCTCTTCTCACATAAACTTCATCTTTTATGCTAGAGAAGTTAGAGGACTCAGATTTGACTTATGGTTGGCAATTTAGCAGGTATGGACTAAAATCCGATATAGACTAGAATTCCAACAATTTTTCTATATTGACTCTATAGCTTGTCAATGTCTTTTTTGGAACAAAGAGATACTTGATTCCCACCAAAATATGCTAAGAGATGTTCTTTACTCATTTAAGAGTATACAAATGAGTAAAGACATTATTTAATTTAAAGACCTCTAATATGACCAATAGAAGGATTAAAAATCTATAGCCAAGCTCAAACAAATTGTAAGCCTCCAAAACATAGATCAATACCAAAAGAACTTTTTAGATTCTATACTTGGCTACTAGAATATGAACTAATACCTAGCTTTTAAATCTTTGGACTAAGTAGCAATATTATGACTAGTTCAAGGAATCAAATTCCTATTACAAACTTGTAGCTTTTATAAAGATGTTGTATTTGCACCCATTTTGATTTACTTTTATACATGCCAAAATGCTAAACCTAACATAGATATCACTAGCCTCGACCTACATAAGATACAAGTATTTACATCAATCAAAGACCTTTGCACCATCCATATAAATTTGGACATCTCATACAATGGTCATATATGATGCATGAATAATGTGTGTTCACTTGCATATGATCCAACTAAATGGAA